TGTACCTGACCCATTTTTCCCCCCTTGCAGAGGGGAGAGATTGCCTAAACAAGCTATCTCTTCCCGGGCTGCTTTTCTCTGCAGTGCATCCTATTCCTGAAAAGTGTTAACCACAAGTTAACAAGCTCAGCTTTGTGACCATAATTGGCTGATTAGAATTGTGGGCTGGCTGCAGCTGCTGCCCAAAATTGACAAGACCCTAATCAGTTTCACACTAAAGACTTGGGTGCCTCCTAAGTGGCTTGTGACTTGCAGCTGCAAGCCAGCTAGACAAACAGCCAGTGCTAGCGCATTCCTTTTGATGTGTATTTCCTATTGTGCACCTGCTTACTCTCTTGTAATCCCTTCCTCTGCAATGAATGTAAATATAAACATCAATTCTCTTCTTGCTAATTATTCCAACACTGGGGTGAGAATTCCAAAGGGCAGGGGAGTGGAGAAAAAGGACTATAAGATTTGCCCTTTTACCTGGCTTCCTTGTGAGTCGAGTTCCAGAAACCTTCCCTGCTGTTTGGGGTCACCTGGCTGTTTGGGGTCATATCCTTCTGATGCTGAAAAGCAAAGGAAAACTGAAGTAAAATCGTAAGCAAGTCATGGTCATGTAATTTTCACTTAGCAACCACTTTGCTTAATGACCAAGTCACTGGAACCAGCTGTGGTTGCTAAACAAGGACTACCTGTATAGCACTGGAAGTTTAAAGGTCAATCACTGTATTACAGTAATGAGGTTCACCAATTATGTGCACCTAAATGTTATGCTTTTATATAAAAACATAGTTGTAGTTGCCTGCAGTGAATAGACACTAATATCTAAGAAATTTGTCAATTTGGTGTCTGTGAGATATCATCAAAGGTTCAAGGTCTAATTCTTCTGTGCATATTATGAAGTGAGCCACTGTTCTCTGGATGAAATATCTAAGAATCTGTAGGAACAAGAGAGGCTGATGTCCATATACAATTACTGGACTATATATTATATTCCATTTATTTTGAATTCCATTTATATTATAGTGTTTCTTTAAGGAATTGGCATGACAAAATGATATTTGTCTTTACTCTCATAACAACCTTCTTTTGCTTTTTTTCATAAGAACAGTTCTTTATTTATTTATTTATTCCATCATTCATTCATTCATTTTTCAAAATTAGCCAGGAAGTGACTCTGGGTGGTTTTCCCCCAACTGTATCTTTTGCTCAGGATATACAGTAGCTAGGACATTTAAAAAAAAAAATTTTTTTTAAAGGAACTAGGTTTCCTTTTCTTAAAAAAAGGAACTAGGTTTCTTTCTGTCAGTAATAGGATATCATACTGTCATTTGATTTTGACTTTGTGATGACATCACAAAGAGAAGTCAGAACGATGGAGCCACCTCTCATTTTGAATGGGGGAGCATTTTTACCCCAATTTTGCAATATACTACTTTCTATAAACTAGGGATTGCAGGAGAAAATTTGTGCAAAAGCACCTGTTTCCTCTCCATTTTAAAATTGATTTTAGCCATAACACATTACTGGCCTATGCTGCCTTTATTTTTTTCACTTTGTTTTGCAGGCTTAAGTGCTAACTGTGGTTCTCCACCTTCCATAGAAAATGGGGTTGTTATAGGCTCATTAACAGAAAACTATGAAGATGGTTCTTCAATACAGTACAGTTGCAATGAACATCATGTTTTGCAAGGCTCCAGAACAGTGTTTTGTTCAAGGGGCCAATGGACTACTCCACCTGTTTGTATAGGTATTGTACAGTGTTGTTATTATCATTGTAATACAATACAAATAGATATCGAGGTAAACATGCAGCTTCAATGCATTTCAATTTTAGAAATTTATTGGTGTCTTCATGACTAAATGGAGGGTTTGATAATCCCAACTGGAAATTGGTTTAGGATTTTGAATATATTGTGGCTTTGGCTTCTATTTTTGTTGTTTTATATTGTGTGGTTGTAGTTCTTTTATATTTGATTGTTTGATGTTTAACTCCAAGGTATTAATAGTGCAACAGCTAAGCTACCATCTGATTTTTAAAACAATATACATACTGTAGTTTTAGCAAGTAATTATCAGTGATTTTCAAATTAGCCATTTAATGGAGTGAAAATATGCAAGCTGTTGATAATTCTAATTGACAAAGTTGTAATTCATTAATGTTTATATTTTAGCAAATACAATATAGGAGAATCATATTATCTAATGGAAATGTTCTACTAAATTTCATGGTATGGTAAAAAACTAATAATACTGTATTTATTTTCTAAAGAGCCATGTACCTTGTCACAGGAAGTGATGGCAAAAAATAATTTGCTTCTGAGATGGAGTTTTGACAATCGACCTTATTTTCTTCATGGAGAATTTGTTGAGTTTATGTGCAAAGCATACCACACTGGAGTCTTATCAAGTTCACTCCCTGATTTTAGAGTACAGTGTCAGAATGGACAACTATTGTATCCACAATGCATTAGGAACAACAGGTAAGTAGAAAATTACCTGCAGGATATCTTCATATTTACTTGGTACTGTGTTTTCCTTGTTCAAATAGCTAAGCTTCTCAGAAGTATATTTTAAGAATTTGGGCATAACGGCTACCAAAATGGTATTTGGACAATGCATGTTAAATACATTTCTCGAAAGTGATTAAACAGTGATTGCTACTTCAAAAATATCACCAGTTTTTAAGGATTCCTCTTTGGTTCCTTTCGTTCAGCCATGATTAGAAAAATAGAGGATTTTTATTTTTAATTTATTAAAGCTAGTTGAACCTGAACCATTGACACTATTAGAAAATAGATGTTATAAAAACACTTAGCTTGGTTCACGCGCTGTAGAAGACTTGATGGATATTTTTACAATGTACCTTGTAATTTTATAATGCACCTTGTAAAATAGGGAAAGGGAAAGTATTCCAGTATATGGTATATAAAAGGAGACTAATGCAACAGACAGTGCTCTGTCTGTTGAAGAATATGAAAAAGCATATTGCTATAAAATTATTCTTCATTTTTTTTAGATTAGAGATCAGTTGAAAAAATGCAGTATTTTGCAGAAGGATACTTGGAAGTTACGTTGGTTTATATCAGGCATTATTTTTGAGCTGAGCAGTACTGCTGTTTTATTACTTATGAATAATTAATTTTCCTCCCCAAACCAAGTTTTAGAATTATTGGTTATAGTTATGTATTTCGTCTTTCCTTGTAGGTAATATTTTATGTATTTTGTTTTTCTTTAGATAAAAGAACATGGAAAAAAACCTGGGTGACTTCTCGGCCTCATACCATGTTGCAAGAAGCTTGCCAAATTAACTTGCCTTACCTTTTTTACTGCTGGAAGACTATAGTCACTCAGGGTTATTGGAACAGCTGTAACATAATTTGAAGATGCTTGTAAAGAGAATAATCCCATGATCTGTTTATTACAATATTTATTATTGTAATAAATATTCATATTTATTACAATAAACATCGGCTTTGCATTTTTCCACTTCAGTTTTTTTTTTAAATGCCAAATGTATCAAATTCCTCCATGTTCTTCTTTTATTTTTCTTATTAGTAATTTACTTTACAGGACTTTTTCATAAGTCTGATACTAGTCAACATGCTCCAGCTACTCTTAGGTGACCGGGTAACAGAGAGATTGACAAACACAACAGCAAGTTTATTAGTCACAGTCATTTTATATATTAAGCCTATTCTTAAAACATCTGCTTAATAAAATGCAAGGGTGTATTGGGTTCTCAGGATACAGAATTCTTAATGGCCTTCCATGATGACCCACGACATGCTAAAGGTA